GGCGGTCAACGCGCTCTACTCCTGCAAAGCTACTATTGGAAAAGACTGGGGTCTGCGACCTGCAGATAATACATTGGATTTATATAGCGGTAGTTAGACCTATCCTCACCTATGTCGCGCTGGTATGGTGGCAGGCGGTTGACACCAAATCCCATCTATTCAACTTGCAAAAGGTGCAACGACAAGCATGCTTATGCATAACGGGGGCGATTTATTGAAGGCCCCAGGCATCTCTAGAGACCCTGCTGGAAATTCCCCTTATAGACCTATATGTTAAAAGTATCGCAGCTAAAAGCGCTCTACGACTCAGAGCGTCTAACAGGCTGCGAACAACTTGCAAAGGTCACGCCACAATCCTCTGGAGAGAGGGGGTGGAATACAGCCGCTGTGACCATCAGGTCACGGAAATTGACTTCAATCGAAACATCGATATCCATTTTCCTGACAGAAGTGACTGGGAATTTGATATTGCTCTCAGCGATGACACGAAATACCCATCTTCACGGACGGCTCCAAAATGGATATGGGAACAGGGTCTGGGGTCTTCTCTCAGGAGCTATCTCTGAGCGAGTCGTATAGACTCCCAGACCACTGCAGTGTTTTTCAGGGTGAGATATATGCAATCCATATGGCGGCAAGGTTGGTGGGCATGATTGACTTAGCTCCATCTAAACCTGCCTTCGTTGTTGACAGTCAGGCGGCTATCAAAGCCTTAGGGTCGGCAACGACTAATTCGTTATGCGTTAAAGAATGCCGAAGATCCCTACAAGCTCTACAGCAACACATAATCAATAATTACTGGGTACCGGGACATTGTGGTGTCCCGGGAAATGAGGAAGCGGACGATTGTGCTAGGAAGGGATCTGAAATGGTGCTCGAGAAGCGACCCAAATCGTGAAACCCCCCCAGCGATTTCTGTCTTCAGAAGTCGAGAGACTGACCAGGGCAGCTACCAACAGTAGGTGGGTAAACCTTCACACGTGCAGGGTATCGCGATCATTCTGGCCACGGCTCGAAGAACGAAGAACAAGGAGTCTATTAAGGCTTTCAAAGTCAAACGTCAGGCTTCTCACAGGAATACTAACGGGACACTGGACCATTGGCCACATGGCTTCCAGGTTCGGAGCCCCGCATAATGATTTCTGTAGAAGCTGCAGGGATGAGGAGTTAGAATCCATCCAGCACTTCCTTTGCGAGTGTCCAGCACTTCGAGGAAAACGCCTCAAGTTTCTTGGGGACCATTTCTTCGATAATCTGGATATCTTGGAGAAAGCTCCTCTGGAAGGACTGCTAGGATTCGCCAGAAAATCAAAATGGTTCGAAGACATGCAGGGATAGGCTTGGGGTAACCCCCATGGGCATCACAATGGGCCTCTCCGGCCTCCGAGTGAACTCTTTTTTTTCAGAGCTGCCCGTTTAACCTAACCTAACCTACTGAAAAGACTTTAAATACACTCTAAAAAACTTTGTTTATTTGCGCATATTAAGAGAGGTAACCAGTTTCGTGTAATAAAACTAAACATTGCCTGTTTACTTTTACATACCACATTTGTCGCGAAGAGTAAAATTACACATTAAAAGTTTAAAATAAAGAAAATGTGAGCCCATACTGTTTATTATTAGTAGGAAATGTATTTAGTTTGAAAATTTTTGCAATTTTAAACATTTTATATGTGTATATATGTATATATTTTAAAGATCCTAAGTTCAAAATCAAATCCTGAACATCTTATACGTATATTTATACAGATTCTTGTTGAAAAATAGATACTTTTCAGTAGTAGTTTTACATGCTCTTTGTACAGGTACAAATGTAACATATTAATTACTATTTATTATACTTACTTTGCAAAATACTTATGCACAAAAAATGTTATTTATAAATTGAAATTACAAATGTTTTTGTTTTTTGTTTGATTTTATGAAAAATAAAAATATATATACATTAGCGGTTCAAAAAAATTTTTTTTTGGAAATTCATAAACGCTACCGCAAATTATTATTTGTGATAAAAAAAGAGAGACGTGTTTTTTTTTTATTCAAAAGAAAATTTTTTTTTTATAAAAACGCTGTTCTCAATTTTTTATTTTCTTGACATGTTAAAATTTAGGTAAAAATGTGGTTTTTGCATATAATTACTCTGGTATTATTGGCGAACATTCTCCTAATTACAAACCTGTCTTGGGTAGTTAGAGTGAACCTAAAGCCCGAAAATATGCTCGAAAAGAGACTAATAAAATTGAAACGTTGATACTGAACGATATACGCGTTGTCAAGGGTTGGAACTTGTTATTAGGGGGGTTTCAGGGTTTGCTAATTAGGAATCTGAAGTCAGTTTTTCAAAATTCAAGATGGCGGATCCAAAGTGGCGATTAATGTTTTTAAAAAATTATTGGATTGGTTTGGAAACCCGCACTCTGGAGTTTTTGAGGTCGCCGATTACGAATCTGAAGTCAATTTTTTTTTAATTCAAAATGGCGGATCCAATATGGCGATCGAATTAAAAAAACTATTACTAAAATTAAGGGCGGTATTATCACTTGCGAAGCGAATGAATTTGGCAAAGCGAACGGTTTAACGGACCAACTGTAAAAAAAATTACTGGATTTGTTTGAAACTCTTAATTTGTATCATGCCTCGATTATTGCATCGTGCTTTTCCATGATACAAAAAAGAAGGTGGTTTCAATAAACAACTTTTGACGGATTATAAAATTTTTTGAAGTTTCATAAATTGTGAGCATTCTCAAAGGCCTTGCCACTTTGATAATATTAAAACAATAAATCGGTGCATTTTCTTTCCCACATTTATACCAATTTAATAATACTTCAAACGAAAAATCATTATCAGTGCTTGGTAATTTTTTTACTTACGTGGTTTGCACCTTTTTTATTAAAAATAAATATATAAAATATGTAATGTTAAATGAGACTTCATTGAAATTGTTCTTTTTATTTTATAATAAAAATCACGAGAGCATCATGTTATTTTTTTATTTTCTTATTTTGTATGCAAGGGAAATGTTTAGTAGCGCTCACATCGTTTTTAGGGTGGGGGCGGAGCCGGAGGGGCGGAGACCCTCAAACCCTCCCCACTAGAAAGGGGACAGTCCCCGCATTCTAAAAAGGCGTATTCCCCCCTTGGGCTCCTCCCACAGGCCCCTAGGGAACCGTTTGAAAAAGGGAAAAAAACAGAATTTTCTTAGGCAAACTGAGCAGTTTGAAGTGGAATATGACCCAACTAACAGAAAACGTGGGATTATTTAATAAAAGAAATTATGCCAAATTAGATATCGGGCGATTTTGAATAAAGAATAAAAAAGTTAATTAAAAATAGAAAAAAACAAGTTTTTATAAAAAAAAATGTTCTTTTTAACAAATGTATTTTTGCGTAGAATTCCTTTCCGCGTAGGCGGCCTTCGGCCGCACTTAGTGATTATAACCCTCAGGAAGTAGAATTCTCCTTTCTGTGCTGCCAAAGAAGGGGGGCTGAACACCTTTTGCAGAGAACACCTTTCTACGTAGGCGGCCTTCGGCCGCACTTAGGGATTATAACCCTCAGGCAGTAGAATTCTCCTTTCTGTGCTGCCAAAGAATTGGGGCTGAACACCTTTTGCAGAGAACACAATTTTGCGTAGGCGACCTTCGGCCTCACTTAGGGATTATAACCCTCAGGCAGTAGAATTCTCCTTTCTGTGTTGCCAAAGAAAAGGGGCCGAACACCTTTTGCATAGAACACCTTTCTGCGTAGGCGGCCTTCGGCCGCACTTAGGGATTATAACCCTCAGGCAGTAGAATTCTCCTTTCTGTTTTGCGAAGAAAAGGAGCTGAACACCTTTTGCAGAGAACACCTTTGTATATTTTTAATGCTTACTGGGTTATATCCTATCTTCTTTTGTCTCTCATTCTTTTGCATATTTTGGAGTTTGACAGCTGAACTCCGCCATTTGATTTGCAGGTGCAATCCCGTATTACTCGGACTCCGACTAGTAAAACTGTCAAAAAATAAAAATTCGCTCAGTGCGAGAGAGTAACATTGAAAAGGGTAAAAGTGCACTCTAGCGAAGGTAGGTCAAAATGGACGGAAAAATTTCGAGAGTGGTATCAGTCAACGCGTCTTAACGCCAATAATAACAATCCGAGACCGGAAATTAACATTTTTAATTAATTAAAGAGTTATTTGCAAACAACACTTGCACTTTCCGCACTATGTTTTGATGAATTTCACGCAAATGAATGGAATAAATGAACTTAAGGTAATTCTCTAGTTTGGGGTAACAACCCCTAAAAAAGGTGCGGAAAAGTCGGGAGGGGTACCAAACGACGCGTTTCGGCCCCCCTATTAACAATCCGGAGGGGGGGAGATAATATTATTAACCATTTAAAAGTTATGAACAAAAAACTTTTGTTAAATTTCGTTGTTTTCTATGGGCAATTACACCGACAAAGATTCACTAAATCACCTGTTCTCACTTTTTAAACACTATTAAAATATATAATTTAACTTATTTATTAAAGAAACACATAGTTCCCTATTATGAGTTGCATTCGATCTTCGACTGTGATCGAAAGTGCTGATCGAATTTTCATTTGGTATTAAGGCGCTCATTCGATGAAGAATAGCGCTATTGTGAATTTCGCTCGTTTAGGTTGTTCACAATAGTATATTTTTCACCGCCGAGAAGCATTGTTTACAAATCTAGCAAACTAAATAGTGTGCTTATACATATGTACATATGTAAATTTGTGCAAATTAAAAAGAAATAAAAAGAAATCGAGTTTATGAAAACGTGGAAAAAAAATTTTAATTAGTACAACGGAGTTCTGGTTGAACGATTCGTCAGAGGATGAAGCTTAGAAAACTGGCCAAGAGCAGATAACGTTTAAGAGAGTTTAAGTGCAGTCTTTCGAATATATTTTGACACTATATATTTAAGAAATTTTGCGATCCAAATCTATTTAAAATATATTAAAAC